TTGGATCTGGACTGCCCGTATGGGTGGGACCAATCTGAAATGCTTCAGATATGTTCTCTCTGTAATGGCACAAGTTGAGCTAAAACCAGCTTGAGATCTGACCAAAGGTGCATGTATACAGCTGAAGGATCTTGTTATATATTAAGGTAGGGGTAAGTTTCTCTCTCTCTCTCTCTCTCTCTCTATATATATATATATATATATATATATATATATAAATACACACACACTTCATTTTAAAAAATCTATTTCCCATCTAAATTTTATTTTAAGTTTGGAAGATACAGTTTAATGCAGATTCTGCAGAACATATACAGGTAGGCTCCCACCCTACCTCATCTTTTCTTGAACCCCTCTCACCAGGGCGGAGCTAGGTTGGAACTAATCACATCAGCAAATGACGCTTGAATTTTTACCAATCAGGTAAATACCTACCCTTTTTAAACTCCTTTTTTTCCAAGTCCCTTATAGAGTGACTGATTCTGCTGATTTTTAACGTTTGCCCACTGACAAAGAAATGATCAGTCTATAATTTTAATGATAGGTGTATTTTAACAGTGAGAGACAAATTAACAAAATAAAAATCCAGTAAAATATATGTCAAAAAAGTTATAAATTGGGGGGGCGGAGCCTGACCTGTGTGCCGCGAGCTCCTACTGAACGCAGTCAAAGGCAAAAATCAGCGACTATGGAGCCCACAGACTCACCAGGGTGCACTTCCCACACTAGGAGTGCACCACTGAACAGCATGATGCCCGATATATGCCCGTCGGAACCAGGCAACCGTAACGCCAAGTGCAGCCTACTGTAAAAGGAGCCGGGGGATGCGGCCCCTCTCCCCGGAGCCGGACCCAACAAGCGACACTGAGGGTCTCCTACCCCCCCTCTGGACCGGTGGAGGTTATCCCGGTCCCCAATTGAAGCTCAGCTCCCACCCTACCGCAACTGCACATCGAGCATAGCAGCAACGAAGTGGAGCCCAGACCACACAAGATGGTGGAGACCCCTTCACAGACCTCGCTATCCCCCAGCCAAACACATGAGTCACACCTTGTGGTGGAACAGATCTCGCCACGTGTTCTTGGGAGGGGGCTGCTTGCCCGCCTCCTACCTTCTGACTATGGCCCTGGGATATATGGCATTTGAAAACACTATTTGTACCCTGTGACAAAACTGGAGATTGTGCACAAATATGACTATTGTCCATATTTTTTATGATTCCCTTCATTCTTGCACTGTTCCCCATGTGTTTCAACTGTGGAGTTACTGGGTGATCACCATTTCATGTATCAGAGGCACATGGTGAGAACAATGGATGAAGCACATGGTGAGAACAATGGATGGCGGCCATTTTAACTCACATACACTGTTTGGACTTTTCTACATGGTGCCATCTCGCCGGTATTTGGTGCACAAAGACATCATGCAGTAGTTTTAAACTATACAACAGGGGACACATTTTACAGTAATTATTTTTCATATAACCTGTATATGTTCTGCAGAATCTGCATTAAACTGTATCTTCCAAACTACTGAACGGATCTGGGTGAATTTTGGATATGTGGTTCACCCAGAACCCCCGGTTCCGAGGATATACTTTATTTTAATGAGGTTATTGCATGTTTTGGGGTCCCTGTGATATGTTTTATAATACTGTATTTCTCTGCCTGTGATAATTATATTAACCATTGTGTTCGGTAATCATATTACAGGCAGAGGGAAGGATTTTGTGTGGGAGTGTGTGTATTGTACGGATTGATTGGTTGTATTTCAAAACCCTGTGGGCAGTACTATGTTTGTGGATTGTGAATAAAAGAGGCTGTATGTGCCAGTACAGTCAGTTCTGCTTGACCTCAAAACGAAGTGTCGTCTCGTTATTGGGGGAATTGGATTGTATGCTGATTGCCAGGAGTGTAAGCTGATTGTATACTTTTCCTGTTCAGCTGCTTACAGCATTCATATGCTTGAGAGCATTCGTATGCTTCTCCGGTTCGGTGGTTGTGGTGTCTGCTGCAGTGCTTGGAGTCCTCAGGAAGTGCTAGGAGCATCCTTCAACGGAGGTACCCAGTCGGGGTGCCAGGTGATCCGTTACACACCTCGACTCCTTTGACACCCGGCTGGAGGTAATATTTCAAGCTTTTTGGAACAAACTGCAGGCACGCTTTACCATCAACCAGCCTACACAGGTACTGAGGAGAATCCCAGAGGGCTTGGCGGGAAAGCGCCCCACGAGCAGAACACTTACCCTAGCAGCTCAAAAAGTAAAGATGGCACCACTACAAAGGTCTGCATGGAAGCCTGCACAAATGGCAGCACTCAAGACTGCACAGAAGTGCAATCCTGGAAAGCAGCATGAGAGAGAACGGAGAGGGGCACTGCAGAGCACACCCAGACACAGGAGACGCCACCATGTACCACACAGCCGTCTACTTGAACCCCAGTCCAGCTGTCACCCTCAGGCAGTATGTAAAGAGCAACCCACAAGCAATTCCCAAGTCGTAACCTGGACCATCAAAGACCCGGGACAGGACTGTGATGGACACTGGAGATGGTCGGGTAGCTATATGGGGTCATGGACATGTAATACAGCACCAAACAGGACGCATAGACTTGGTGGGCATAGGCTGAGCACCCTACTTGAAAGCAGGACCGGGCTACCATGTCCCTTAGGCCCCAGGTCTCGTGTTAACCGTCACCCGCCTATCTCCTAGCTTTAACTATAGACCAAGGGTCTGTTCAGCTCATAAGGATCCCCATCTCTCACTGTTTGTTCTTTGTTTTTTGTTTCTTTTTCTCTCTTGCTCCCATAGATGGTACTGGTGAAACATAACATACGGTAGTATACTATGATATAAGTTGTCTCAGTCCCACTTAATAGGGTGTCCAGACTGGGTTGAATATTCGGAGAAACTTCGTTAAAAATAGCCAAAAGGCAATATTACCAAGCATGTTCCTACACCTGTCATTAGGATATTGTCTCTATCGATAATTTTCAATAGTCACTTATACATGTCATAAAAACCATACTGGACACTCAGCATGTACTCTATCGTCTAAAAAGAACTCATGATTAACACTTTACGAATGTTATCTATCTTCAGTGAATTTAGCTTGTTACTTAAATTTTTTTAAATGGTGCCGTTTCTAGAGAAGCCACACAATTGTTTCTGATGTATACTCTTTAAAGTCACTGTTAACGCTGCTGTGGCGTTGATGGCTGGATTGTACCACTCATGCACCACAAAAATAAATAATAAAAAAAAAAAGTTATAAATTGATATTCATGTCAATGAGTGAAATAAGTTTTTGACCCCTTCGACTTAGTACTTGGTGGCAAAACCCTTGTTGGCAATCACAGAGGTCAAAGTTTCTTGTAGTTGTCAACCAGGTTTGCACAAATCTCAGGAGGGATTTTGTTCCACTCCTCTTTGCAGATCCTCTCCAAGTCATTGAGGTTTTGAGGCTGATGTTTGGCAATGTGAACCTTCAGCTCCCTCCATAAATTTTCTATGGGATTAAGGTCTGGAGACTGGCTAGGCCACTCCGGGACCTTAATGTGCTTCTTCTTGAGCCACTCCTTTGTTGCCTTGGCTGTGTGTTTTGGGTCATTATCATGACCCAAAACACACATGCTGGAATACCCATCCACGGTCCATTTTCAATGTCCTGGCTGAGGGAAGGAGGTTCTCACCCAATATTTGATGGTACATGGCCCCGTAATGTTTCCACCTCCATGTTTAACGGTGGGGATGGTGTTCTTGGGGTTATAGGCAGCATTCCTCCTCCTCCAACGCGGCGAGTTGAGTTGATTCCAAAGAGCTCGATTTTGGTCTCATCTGACCACAACACTCTCACCCAGTTCTCCTCTGAATCATTCAGATTTTCATTGGCAAACTTCGCACGGGCCTGTACATGTGCTTTCTTGAGCAGGTCGACCTTGCGGGAGCTGCAGAATTTCAGTCCTTCATGGCATAGTGTATTACCATTTGTTTTCTTTGGTCAGGCTTGCTCTGTGAGATCGGGGTGCCATGTTATGTGTTGTTTATCAGATGTCTGCCTGGTTTTAGTGTTGTGTGAACAGAGTTGTGGCCTCTCTCTCTGCTTGGTTGTGTACCCCTTACCTAGGGGGTGGCGGGGGAGGGTTTTTTAAAATCTCACTTGAGTCTGCATAAAGGTGTATGCTGTCAATCTGTCAGACTTGGTCTGCTGTGTGTGTCGTATTTTTTCTGTGGATACAAAATCATAATGACAAACTGGTAACTGGACATGAGTAAAATAAAACAACAATGTAGTCGCCATTCTTGGCTCTTTTCTCAGTTCTCAAGACCTGTGTGTCGGTATGCGTTCCGTTTGAGATGTAGCTAGTCAAGTCCCTTGTTTGTTTTGGCCTCTGGGCACAAAGGGTTCGATGTTGCTTGGATCCCAGCTGCTACTGGCTGCTTCTGTCGGTGCTTCAGTGTCTGGTTGTGTTAATCCCAGAGCTGCTTGGAATGTCTGTGAGTCGGTCATTGAGTGGAGTGTGTGTGTTGCTCCGTTATGGATCACCCCTATGGAGCCCGTCGTTCCCCATCTGAAGGGTATCCCTGCGGACCGGAGGCGGGCGGTTACTGTTCCCAGGGATCTGCGCCACTGCAGCGTCGTTTTGGAAAGATCTTGAAAAAACTTCAGGTGTGTGCCTTCGAACTGCAGGGGTGTCTTGCCTCGGATCGCCGCCATTATTTGGGCTTTGTCTGTGGTAGAGGAGCATCGAATGATGACATCTCTTGGTGTGGTGGAAGAGGAATTGAGTGTGTTAGTTAGGCGGTATATGCTATTTAAAGCAATTTTCTTAGCCACCGCGGGTGACATGATGGACGCCAGCAGCCTCCTGATGTAATGGGGCAGTTCCTCTGCCTTTGTGTCCGCCGGTACGCCCCTTATCTTTATATTATTGCGGCGTTGTTGGTCTTCAAGGTTAGTCACTCTCTGGGACAGGTGGAGTTGCTGGGTGTAAACCTTTTCTAATGAACTCCGTCTTCCGTCACTTGTATGCGGACGGAGTTGGCTTGTATCTCCTTTCTGAGAAGCGTCCGGTCTGCCTCCATCATCCTGTGCAGGTCTGTGAGGAGCAGTTTGAGGTCCCCTTTGGTAGTCGGGGCCGAACTGTCGGTGAGTTGAAGGCTCGAGGTATGCTCAGGTGGTGGAGGGGGTGGGGTGTCCCCGTTAGCGCTCGGGGGCGCAGGTGCCGGTGGTTCATCGGTCTCCACTGGCTGTGTTTCTGATGCTGCCGGTCGCTGAAGCATGACACTGATGTCCCTCTCGGGTTTTTGGGAGCAGCGCCCCATTGATTGTGTGTGTGGCTGCGGTGTCGTTGGAAAGTAGTCCGACTCGCTTGTGCCGTGTGCCTCCAGTAGGCCTTCGAAGAGCTTGTCCAGGCCTCGTGGTTGTGAGGCGTAGTAGGCCCCAGTTTTGCGTTTCCGTTTTGTGTGCCTCTGTGTAAACGAAAAAGGCATCAATCGGTGCAGTCCGTCGCCCAGATAAAGGTGCTGCTGTTTGTTTCAGTGTTGGTCTGTGTGGTTTTTAGATTTTCGGTGAGATTTAGGAAGTAGATGAGGAGCAGTCTGAAATGGCGTCTGCTTGGCTCCGGCATTAGCTCCGCCCCTACCATTTGTTTTCTTGGTGACTACTGTGACGAAAGGAACTTCGCAACTGGGTTTTGGAGAGGCCTGTTTGCTTGCCTCCTACCCTGTGACTATGGGCCCTGCAATATACCTTGCCCAATACACTTTAAAAGACTCCATTCATGTAATGTAAGTACTTTTATACTCCATAAAGAGAGACCGACCGTTGGCCTTAATTCCCTGGAACTGTTTTGGGCATAGGACCATGTGCACGGTCGGTCAAAACTATGACTTCCAGGAAATTCCTGAACCCCTGAACTGATCTGGGTGATTTTTGGATATGTTGTTCACCCAGATCGGGGTTGTAACTTTTATGGGGTTTTATGTATTTTTTTTTTTTTTGGTACTTTTTGGTGTTTCATAAAATTGTATGTTTTTCTGTGCTTTGGCATAATTGGGTTAGATTAGTACAGTTCCTGATTCAATTATCTCCCCAAGCACAGAGGAGGGATTCTATTGTTTGTGTATGGGAGTGTCTCACTGTATGACTCTGGTTTTATTGGTTTATTCATTTTGTGTCCCTGTGCCCAACAAGGTCCACCTGGGTGTCACCCTTGTTGGGAAACTTGCATAAAAGGCCAGTGTGCCTCCATTAAAATTCTATTCCAGATTACACTCCAAAACTGTGTGTCATCCTGTTATTGGAGGGAAAGAAGATTTACTCCTGTGTCTACTGTTCCAGCTTGCAGGGGATTCAACGGGGAAAGTCCTTGTAAGGACTAGAGCTAATTCCCCATTCGGCTCCAGGAAGGAGCAGTTCCAGGGCCCCAGTCAAGCCACAGCGACCATGGGCAGAAGTGCTGCAGTTTGTCCCCTGTTCCAACTAGGAAGTGGTCCTTGGCGGAGGTACCCAGCCAGGGGTACAGGGAGCTCCGCTACAACTATAGTCCTAGCTGCCTTGAGATCATTAACAAGATTCTCCCTTGTAGTTCTGGGCTGATTCCTCATGAGGTGATATCTTTCATGGAGCACCAGGCCGAGGGAGACTGACCGAGGGAGTTATTTTGTGTTTCTTCCATTTGCGAATAATTGCACCAACTGGTGTCACCTTCTCACCAAGCTGCTTGGCGATAGTCTTGAAAACCCATTCCAGCCTTATGTAGGTCTACAATCCTGTCCCTGACATCCTTGGACAGCTCTTTCATCTTGGCCATGGTGGAGAGTTTGGAATCTGATTGATTGCTTCTGTGGACAGGTGTCTTTTATACAGGTAACAAGCTGAGATTAGGCGCACTCCCTTTAAGAGAGCGCTTCTAATCTCAGCTCATTACCTGTATAAAAGACACCTGGTAGGCAGAAATCTTGCTGATTGATACGGGATCAAATACTTATTTCACTCATTGACATGCAAATAAATTTATGACTTTTTTGACACGCGTTTTTCTGGATTTTGTTGTTGTTGTTATTCTGTCTCGCCATTTCAGACTGCTCCTCATCTACTTCCTAAATCTCACCGAAAATCTAAAAACCACACAGACCAACACTGAAACAAACAGCAGCACTGTTAAAATACACATATCATTAAAATTATAGACAGATCATTTCTTTGTTAGTGGACAAACATTCAAAATCAGTAGGGGATCATATACTTGTTTCCCTCACTGTAGCAGTTATTATTATTATTATTATTATTATTATTATATTTACATAGCGCCATCAAATTCCACAGCGCTTTACGGACATGTAGTTGTAACCAGACAAGTTGGACACACAGGAACAGAGGGGTTGAGGGCCCTGCTCAATGAGCTTACATGCTAGAGGGAGTGGGGTAAAATGACACAAAAATGTAAGGATAGTATTAGACTAGTGACAGTTGCAGAAGAGGAATCAGTCAGGAGCTATTAACAGTTTAATTGATACGCTTTTATGAAGAAGTGGGTTTTTAACGATTTTTTGAAGGAGTGGAGACTGGGTGAGCATCTAACGGAGGAGGGAAGCGAGTTCCACAGGAACGGTGCAGCCCTCGAGAAATCTTGAAGACGAGCATCAGAGGTGGGAGTACGGACAGAAGATAGACCTAAGTCTTCAGCAGATCGTAAGGGCCTTGATGGGACATACTTGTGTGTAAGGGAGGACAGATAGGTGGGAGCAGCATTATGTAGAGATTTGAAAGCAAGAACCAGAATTTTAAATTGAGCTCTATATTTTATAGGAAGCCAATGTAGGGACTGACACTACACACACACTACACACTTCATTTACTAAACACACTCTGCACTACACACACACTACATTCACTAAACACACTCAGCACTACACACACACACTACATTCACTAAACACACACTGCACTACACACAATAACACTACATTCACTAAACACACTCTGCACTACACACACACACTACATTCTCTAAACACACTCTCTACTACACACACTACATTCACTAAACACACTGCACTACACACACACACACACTACATTCACTATACACACGTTGTACTCACTACAAACACACTACATTTACTAAACACACTTTGCACTCACTAAAAAACAATGCATTCACTATACACACTCTGCATTCACCACAATCACACTACATTCACATACACATTTTGCATTCACCACAATCACACTACATTCACCATACACATTTTGCATTCACTACAAACACACTACATGAACTATACACATTTTGCATTCACTACAATCACACTACATGAACTGTACACATTTTGCACTCACTACAATCACTATACATACTTTGCACTCGCTGCAAACACACTACATTTACTATACACATATTGCATTCACCACAATCACACTACATGCACAATACACACTTTCCACTCACTACAAACACACTGCATCCACTACAAAAATACACACTGCATTCACTGTACACACACTACATCCACTACAAAAATACACACTCTGCATTCACTATACACACCTACATTCACTACACACACACTCTGCATCTAATGCATGCATACAAACATTACATACATTACACAAAACGTACAATCTGCATCCACTATACACACTGCAGCCATGACACACATACCACATCCACTATACACACTGCATCCATGACACTCATTCTACATCCACTATATACACACGCACACCTTGTGGGCGGACTCGGGGCTGGCCCAGGGGGGCCAGATCTTGAGCTGTGTCAGTGGCCCTAAAATTTCTGATGGCGGCCCTGACAGTAGGCTTGCTCAGCCAAGATAGCAAACTCAAGCAGAATGAACAGGCATTATAAGCATGACATGGCGTACGAATTGACAGCACAAATTTTGTGCATGATGACAACAGGGATAGACAGTGTAGAGACAAAGTATATTGTGAGGTTCAAGCTTTTCCTACTGTCTGTGGTGTTGATGTGAGGTAAAGTTCAACATTTGTAGTACATGCTAGGCGTATTATAAGTTTAACATTTAAATTTGAACAGGCTTAGATAGTTCAACGTTTATAGTGCATTCTAGGCGAATTATACGTTTAACATTTAAATATGAACAGGCTTAGATAGTTCAACGTTTGAATTGCATGCTAGGTAGATTATAGATGTAACTCTTATATATGCATAGGCTAATACGTGTTTCAATGCAGGCAGGTTCATTTCTCAAGGTAATATTACAGCATTTAAAGTGGACTAATAAAACCTGCTTGCTGAGTATGGTTCTGGCAATGTGTTCAGTGGCGGATCCAGAGCCTGATCTCGGGAGGGGCACTTGTAGATTATTTAAAGAAATAATCCAGACACAATAACCACTACAGCTCAGTGTAGTGGTTATGGTGTCAATAGTGCCGGGACCCCCTCCCAGAGTAATTAATCAAACTGTTTAAGAACAGTTTGACAACTTACCTGAGGTCTGCTGGGAAATGGGGCAGTAGTAGGGCATAGGAGCAGTGGTGTGTGAGTGGTGCAATGTGTAAGGGGTGCAGTGTGTATGTGTGTGTGTGTGTGTGTGAGGGGGACAGTGTGTGAGCAGTGTGTGTGTGTGTGTGTGTGTGAAGGTTGTAGTGTGTGTGAGGGCGGCAGTGTATGTCAGGGATGCAGTGTATGTGTGGGACAGTATGTGTGTGTAACAGTTGCAGTGTGGGTGTGTGAGTATTGCAGTGTATGTGTGTGTGGGCAATGTGTGTGTATGGAGCGGCAGTGTATGGGGGCAGTGTGTGTGTATGGGGAGCAGTGTGTGTGTATTGGGTAGTGTATGTGTGTAGAGTGTGTATGGGGGGCAGTGTGTGTATGGGGGGCAGTGTGTGTTTATGGGGGCAGTATGTGTGTATGGGGGCAGTGTGTGGGGCAGTGTGTGTGTATGGGAGCAGTGTGTGTATGGGGGCTGTGGGTATGGGGGAACAGTGTGTGTGTATGGGGGGCAGTATGTGGTATGGGGAGCAGTATGTGTGTGTATGGGGAGCAGTATGTGTGTATGGGGGCAGTGTGTGTGTATGGGGGGGGCAGTATGGAAGGCAGTGTGTATATGGGGGACAGGTATGTGTGTGTATGGGGCAGTATGTGTGTGTGTGGGTGGTGAGTGTGTATGGGGGGGGTGTGTGTGTATGGGGGCAGTGTGTGTTAGGGGTCAGTATGTGTGTATGGGGGTCAGTATGTGTGTATAGGGGCAGTGTGTGTATGGGGCAGTATGTGTGTATGGGGGCAGTATGTGTGTATGGGGGGCAGTGTGTGTGTATGGGGGGAGCAGTGTGTGTGTATGGGGGCAGTGTGTATGTATGGGGGCAGTATGTGTGTATGGGAGCAGTATGTGTGTATGGGGGGCAGTGTGTGTGTATGGGGGGCAGTATGGGAGGCAGTGTGTATAGGGGACAGTATGTGTGTATGGGGGGGCAGTATGTGTGTATGGGGCAGGGGGTGTGTGTG